TGGGAGGGGAGCTCTGCAGGTCACCCACCCCCCAGGGGAAGTGGGGAGGTGTGGGGGGGACCCGCGGTGCTCCTGGGGGGACAGACCCCCCAACAAACACTCAGGCAGTGCGGGCTAAACCCACGGGATCGGGGCTGAGCACGTGGATGTTCCCACTCCTGCCCGTGCAGGAAGAGGGGGGAAAAAATGAATGGCATCTCATCATCCCAGTCATGCCTTCCCTGCACGTGGGAGAGCAGCTCCTTCCCCGTCGCCTCCTTCCTCAATGGGCTGCAGGAATTTAATCTTATCTCCTTCCCAGCACGCTTTCTTTGAGGCTTTTCCCTCTCCCCTGCAGAGTTCTCGCGCAGGCAGCAGCTTTCCCTCCACCTTCCCCGACAGGTCACCCTCGCAAAAGAGCCTTCGTTTCCTCCCGGGCTTGGCGGTGTCACTCGGCTCCCTGCTGAGCCTGCTCTTCCCCCCTTTCGGAATGCCGAAGCTTCCTTCTTCCCTGCAATCTCTCGCCCACTCTTTTTCCCCTCTCGAATTATTATTCATCCTTTCTGTGCAGATGCTCCCACACATTTGGGTGTTTGTTGGGAGAGGCACAGATAACACGGGGAGCAGCTGCCAGGAGCCCGGCTCCGGGATCAGCCTCCTTCCTCTTTCCCTCGATCGCTGCCAGGTGATGTGCCCCCCGTTTCACGCGGTGATTCGGGTCTTTGAGGCACCGGGAATGTGGCCCTGGGGGGAAATGTGGGCATTTCTGTGGCGAAAAGCCCCGCACGCGCCTCGTGGAGCATCCGACTGATGCTCTGAGTCCGGCCTGGGCTGTGCGAGCATCTGCCCGTCCCCGCTCCAGCTCCTGCCTGCCCTCCCCGTGCCCAGCTGGAGCCAGGCTCTCCAAAACCTGCTCATTTCGGTCTCCAAAGAAATGGCAGCAATAAGGGCTTGCAGAGCGCCGACCTTGCCCCCTCCCCGTAATGGTCCCCCCTCCCCGCGCTAATGGGGGCCAATTCAGAGCCTGCCCGGGCAGGCGCCAGCCCGTGGTGCTCAATTGTGGCTCGGGGCCCCACGACAAGGCTCCCATTCACCGCGGGCCATTGTCCCCGCTCCTTCATTGTCATTCATCGGGATCGGTTTGATGGCAGGCGGGCGGCGATCGGAGCACAAAGCGCGCACCATGTGTTCCGCCCCGATCTGCCAGCGGCGAGGGGGACACTCGACAGGAAGAATGAACCAGCCTCAATTACGCCTTACATCCACTCTAATAGCCCGGGAGTCCATCACACTTAATGTTGTTTCAATGAACAGCGAGAGAAT